AAGTTCTAGTCACTAGGGCAAGCTCTTAGCACACTGCTTAGAATGGCCTATGGTCTAAACGTACAAACCACTTTTTTCCTAGAGATTCTCATTTAATACTTTCAGGCTTTTGCTGACATAGTGAATGAGACCTTGGGAAGATGGGGGAACCTCTGTACTCTATGTGATTGTGGCAGCCATAGGTAAAAGGTAGGCAGTGAGCACACTTCCAGAACAAGGGATAGGGCAAGACCCACAGACTCTTGAGTCTAGACCTTCACTGTTTCAAATGTGCTCTTTAGAAACCAGCATGGGGAGGGGAGGGATGTTAAGCAACCAACTCCCCAGGTCCCCTGGGGACAAGGGGCCCTTGCTGCCTCTGGATCTTAGGGAGTTGCAATATGCCTTCATGCAAGACACAGCTATATTGAGTGTCCAGCATCTTCTAGGCCCAGCACGGAGGTGACTGTGTACAACAGTACAGAGGGTCTCTCTCTAGGCAAAACAGGCCCTATGTATGCTGGCTGCCTCTGACCACAACCTAAATCAAGCTAAACAGTGCCAGCAACAGTGTTTGGGAAATAAGAGGTGTAGCTATTAAGGACAGGGCAGGGGGAGGGGACATTGTCCCTGCAGCCACTGGTTCAGACTCATGCATCCCAGAATTGGGCAAGCCTTTCAAAATGCAGCAGAGGGCCTGGGCTTAGGGCAGACCTGGATCCATTGAGGAGGTATTCTGTGACTTGAAGAGTGTGAGTTGGAGACAGATAACCATCTGAGGAGCACGTGACAGCAGTAGGGCCAGGATGCTTCTGGAGAACATCAAGGAAGATAAAGTGTGTCTAAAAGATGTTAAGCAGTGGGAATGGCTTTAAAACACAAGGAAGGCCCTGGCTATCCCGGAAGCCTTGAAGCTCTTGGACACCAGTTCAAAGTCCTGGGACCAGTCCTGAGAGTGTACCGATGGGAACTGGAGGGGACTACAGAGATCAGGACAGCCCAGGACACTGGAGGGAGCCTCAGGCTGCCCAGCTTAGAACTGTAATTTTTCTCTACAAATGTCTGAATGTCAGTTCAATTAAAACCAGAAAAGCATCCAAGTCCAGTGGCACGGGTCTGTCATCCTAACTCCTGGGAGGCTGAAGCAGGAAGATGCAAAGTTCTAAGCCAGCCTGGACTACAGAGAGTTCTAGGTCAGCCTAGGCAACTTAGTAAGACCTTATCTCAAATAAAACACAAAAAGTAGGTTGGGGCTGTAGTTCCACGGGAGAGAGCCTGCCTAGCACGCATAGGACCCTAGGCTCAATTCCCATAACTACAAAGCCAACTGACCAACCTCAAAAAGCCACATCGCCTAAACAAAAACTGCAGGCAGTAAGTGAACCCCTCCCTTAGCAGGAAGAACAGGCCCAGAGAGGGGAGCTCCTTGCCCAAAGTCACGGCCATCTGGAGGCAGCTGGGACTTAGAAGCTTTCCGGACTTCACAAAGCAAGAGCCCTGCGTCTGTCCACCCCGCCACTCAGGAGGAAGTGAGACAGGAACAGCAAATGGGAGCACATGAGTGGCTAATACTTGTAACCACAGAGCCCAGGGACACATGTGCCGGGCCTTACAAAGGGAAACGAGATGGTAAGGAGGGTAAATTATGAGGACAGGGCTTGTATCTCCAACCTGGCAGCTGGGTGACCCTGCAGCGACCACTGTGGCCATCTGCACTCTGTGTCTCTGCTGTGGGGAGAACTGAGTTAAGGGTTCCAGCTGGCCCTGTGGGTGTCGGTCAGGTTTGGAATCACTGCCTATGATAGGGGGAAGCTGAAGCTTCTTGTAAAGGTCAGGCTCTCGATTCCAAGAGCATGTCCTACTCAACTTATGTCACCATCCCTTCCTAAGCCCAGGAGGTGGCAGCCACTTGTACCCTGCTCTGCAAACTCAGCCCAGGGGTAGTGAGCAACAATAGCTCCAGATCTTGCTTCCAAGTGGAGCGGTGGTACAAATGCAGACTGTGCCAGCTCTCTGACCGTGCCAACCTTCTGCCACAGACCAGCCTGGGTCAAGAGTCTGGTAAATGTGAGAATCCACTTGGCAGCCGGGCTACCAGCTGCGATCTCCCCGGCAGTAATGTCCTCCCTGGTCCTCCCCTGCAATTTCTGAGGCTTGGCCCAGTCCTCCAGCTATTTCAAATGACTCATGCCCACAATTCCTCCTCAGCCTGCAGCTTAGGCTGGGAGAGGGGCATCCCAGACTTCTATGGTATGTCTGCAGCTGGGCCAGTTATGGCCCATGGAGCACAGTGCCTCACAGACAGCAAGGCATGGATGGCAGGGGGCAGGCACAGACTGCTGCTCAGGGGAGCTTCTGTGAAGTCATCTGAAATTCAAAGCCACCCAAGCCATACCTAAGCTCACAAAAAGTCGCACTCTAGCCTCAAATACACCCACAACACCACATGGGCAATAAATGCCCTGGTGGCCTTCTGGAGTCCAAGGTACTCCAGAGGCACAACCATTCCCCTAACAAGGAAGGACACAAGGCCTAGAGACCTCCCTTTCCCTAGGCTGCTTTCTTCACCAAGGAACTCAGGGAGAATGAGGGAACTACAAGTAGTGCCTGGGGCTTTGCTTTTCCAGTTCTGTCACTAGCCACAGCCAGGTAACGCCAGGCTGGACCAGGACCTACAGGGTAATGTTTTAAATTCTGCAACAGGTAACTAACTACCAGAAGCCTGACCTTCAGAAATCAGACTCCCTTCAAGAATGTGGCTCGGGGCTATGGAACAGGCTGGGTGTGGGTGGTACACAGCTTTGGCTCCCCAGCAGTTAGGAGGCAGGCAGGTATCTCAGTTCGAGGCCAGTCAAGGCTATACAGTTTGACCTTGTTTCAAAAAGAAAAAAAAAGGCTGGAGTCAGTAGTATGTACTTGCAATCCCCAAGGTTGGGGTCCTGAGTCGGGTGGGTCCTAGGGGCACCCTGGCCAATCAGTCTAAGCAAGTTCTGGGTTTAGTGAAAGACTGTCTCAAAAAACAAGGTGGGGAGTGACAAAGACACTACCCATAAACCCCTGGCCTCCCCAAACCAACACATGGACAAGCACACCCCACATGTGCATAGACACACATGCCACCCAATAATTATAATAGGAATGTAGTTCGGCTGACACTGCTCCCCTAGCATGCCTGAAGCTCTGGGCCCACACCCAGCACTGAATCAAAGTGTGGTGGTGCGTGCCTGCAATGCTAGAATTAGGAGGTGGAGGCAGGAGGCTCAGAAGTTAAAGGTCATCTTCAGTTCCATAGTGAGTCAGAGGAGACCCTGTACACACAACACACACACACACACACACACACACACCCTCTATCTCCCTTCCTGTGGGAAGAGCCCTGACTGTCCTCCTCTGCTGCGGCCTCTCCTCACCCAGCACAGGGAGGGAGGGAAGAAGTGAGCAGATCCAGGCCCCAACACCAGCAGGTACTAGGGATGCCAACCACACATCTGATCACCGCTGCTCCTTACGTGTAGGTCCCAGGGACCGCCAGATGACATGCCTGCTACCCTTCAGTCCATGAATGAGACACTTGTTTTAACATGAATTAGGAAATCATTTGTAACAAATGCATCGAAGCCAGCAGCATCCTGACTCCTTCGGAAGAGACTTAACATACTCAAGACTGGGAAACCTCAAGCCAGGCAGGTGGCATGTGCCTCTAATTCCATCACTCCAGGGCTGAAACTGGAGGGTCAGGAGTTTAAGGTCACCTTGGGCTACTTAAGACCTGGTCACAAACATTACCATAGCCAGCACACATCACAGGCAGTTGGGTGAAGTGGTAAGGCACTTTGGGAGTTTGGCAGCTCCTTAATAAGTTTTAAAGAGACCCTTTAGCACAAGAACCCCACTCCTAGGTAAAGTGTTAGACGGAACTGAAAACAAACCCCAGTAGCAGTATTAATCACAGCCAACACACATATATGATCTATTCACACTAGGAAACACTATTTACTCATAAAAAAGATAAGTACTGTTGGATGCTATGGTGGCTGTAAAGCCTATGATCCCATGAGGAACCACACAGAGAACTATCCAGAACAGACAAGTTCATAGACAGGCAGTAGGTATTGATGAGAGCAGCCAGCGCCTGGGAAAAGAGGTTTGAGAACTTAGTGCTAATGAGTGCTTCTTTGGGGAATGTGAAAATGTTCTAAAAGTAGACAAACGAGGACAGTGCAAGATCTAAGGATCCTAAAACCCGCCTGGAGTTCACTTCCAAAGGGTGAGTTGTACGGTTAGCGGAGCAAACCTTCAGAGAAGCTGTTACGAAATATTTAAATACTGTTTTTAAAACAAGATAGGGTAAATGGATAAGCTCGGGCCGAGGCGGGTACAGCGGTTCACGGAATAACTTAACAGCTTCTTTGGGCTAATGGAACAAATCCAGTTCTGCATCCCCGGAAACGGGCTGGAGAAGCGGGGCATGTCCCCAGTCCTAAACCAAACCCGAGCCTTCCACCCCATCTGCCCAAGTGCAGAAGATGGGCCTAACCATCAGGCAACTCTGCTGGGATTAAAGAAATGAAGGGTGGCGGGAGAGCAGAGGGACAGCGTGGACGCGGGGAGGAAAGGGGGCAAAAGGGGCAGCTACCTCCAGGGTGGACGGGGGTCAAAACAGAAAGCCCGTTCCCCAGCACACACGCGCACGCAGGGAGCCCCGCGGGAGAGTCTCCTGCCGTGCCGGCTGCGAGTCCTATCGGCCAGGCACGGGACCGCCCAGGCCTCAGTTTCCCCACGTGTGAAGCAGGAAGCCGGCAAGCCAGGCAGAGCGAGAGGCAGCTGCGTTCTAAGAACCACCGTGGGCCGCGACCTCCGCAAGTTAACTTCCCCGCGGCGCCGCGCGGGTGGGGCTCCAGGCCACGCGTGTCCTCCCCCACACCGTCCGCGGCGGCTGGTCAAGCCTGTCCGCACCGCCCACAGTCCCCACCGCGCCGGGCAGCCCCGACCCAGCACTGGCCGAGGCCGCCGCCACCTACCGTGCCCAAATCAGCGCCCGCGCAGACTCCAGCTCCCTGCCGGCCGCCAGGGAGGCGCCGCGAGGGGCGGGGCCTCGTGTCGTACGCAAGGGGCGGGGCCGCAGGGGATCACGCCCCGCCCCTGTTGCCTACCGCCTGACCACGCCCCCCGCCGCCCTCGCGCCGATGGATTCTAGGCGAACCGGGAAGCCCTGAGGGGCGGGACCGGAATAGGCCCTGCCCACAGGCCTCCGCCACGCCCCTTCCCCCGAGGCTTCCCCCTCCGGCAGGGAGGCGCTGCTAGGGTAGGGCCGCGCTCCGTGACGGCAAAGGGGTGGAGTCAAAAGTGCCCGCCCCTCTCCCTGCGCTGCTCCGCCTTCGTCTCCTCCCTGGGGACCTGACTCCGCCTGCTAGGGCTGCAGGTCTGGATTCTGCAACCAGACGGGCGTACCCGCTTGCAGGGCGTCCCGCCACTCATGCCTGCGTTCAGACGCGACGCCACTGCCCTTCAGCACAGGGCAGCGCCCCAGAGAGCAGCCAGCCCTAAGTGTGCTGAGCAAGGGAGAAAGTTCAGGCTCGCCTCTCACAGAGTCATCTTTATCCTCTGTTTACACCATATATACAGATTGTGTGTGTTAACCTGTTTAAATACATTTCTGGGACCGGAGAGATGATCTCGTTTGGTATAGGCGCTTGCAATCCCACGGAGAGAACAGACTCCACACGTGTGCCATGGCACACACAGTAATATAAATAAATAAATACATATTTAAGATAAAATTCCGCGGTTCGCGAGGTGTCTCAGTGGGTAACAGCGCCTGCCTCCAAGCCTGAAAACCTGAGTTAGATCTGGGACCCACATCATGCAAGGAGAGAACAGACACCCCCGTCCAATTAGTTGTCGTTTCATTTCTGGGGATGCTGTGAAACGGTGTTCTGCACACCTATCCAAAGATAAATGCAATAAATTTCTATCCTAGTTACAACTAGCTCAAATATACACATACACGCCAGAGAAGTCAAAGCACACAGATATGTTTGTCATTCACTCATGTATCCATAAAACAGTGCCTGTGTTGTGGGAGACATACTGACAAAGTCCCCCACCTTGGTGAAGTCAGTTCTCTACAATAAACCCACACCACACAGCACTTATTGTGTGTATATTTGAGACTTTGGGGTTTCATACCATTTATGGATGAAGAAAGATACCAAAGGAAGAGGTCCGAAGGGAACTTCTGCTCAGGAGAAGGGCTCTGCACTGGGCTTTATGATTCTGGGAGGAAGCCCCCCAACAACCCTTCACAGTAGAGTGTGTGTAACTGACCAGACAAGAATGTGGTCTTAAGCTGGTTCAGGGAGGAAAAACGGAGTTCTTACATCATAACCTGGAGCTCAGGCAGAGCGGCGTGTGCTACTAGTCATGAAAAGCACATTAGTCACAGCAGAGTGTAGGGTGGCCGGTACCGCATCCCGTAGGGAGGAGGTGAGCTTGAGGTCTTGCACACAGCCAGGTGTGGTGGCGGTGAGAGAGAGGGTGCTGCCAGGCAAGTGTGCACCAGGAAAGGAGTCTCCACCCACCATGTCTCCACGAAATGGAGCCGGGAAGTTTCATCAGGGAAGGGCACGGCTAGCTTTGCTCTCTGTAGAGACCTCTCTGGGTGCTCCTGGGGAGGAACGGGCAGGCTTTGGTTCCTTCCAGCAATAGTTAAGCATCCCGGGATAGGCACAAGGGTGCAGAGGAAGGGCTCTGCTTCTGGAGTCACTGGGAAGACAGGTGAGGCAGGTCTCAGTGGATAGCTAGTGTGGGCATTCTGGCAGCCACCCAGGGTAGCAAACGCTTGCAAGTTTCCATCTGACTGTCACCCCTGGAGGAAGTCCACTCCCTACCCCTCCCTTATGGATCAGGCTGGGAATCTGATGTGACATCGAAGGCAGGTGGGTGAACAAGCTCATTCCCATCCCTGTCCCTAGGCTGGGGCCTTCCAGGATGGGCACCTCCTTCATCTGCTTGACAACCTGTTTCCTTAAGTGGGTTCACAAACATGGCACTTAGGGGGTCTCCAGGGGATGGGATAGAGACGTAGCAACAAGCACACATCTATCATCTTCCTAACACCGACACCCCCAAAGTCGATGTAGATGGTGTATCAAAGGCTATGTAGATGCTGTAACAAAAGCTTTGTAGATGCTGTGTCAATGACTATGTGGATGCTGTGTCAATGACTATGTGGATGCTGTGTCAATGACTATGTGGATGCTGTGTCAATGACTATGTGGATACTGTGTCAAAGGCTATGTGGATGCTGTGTCAATGACTATGTGGATGCTGTGTCAATGACTATGTGGATGCTGTGTCAATGACTATGTGGATGCTGTGTCAGTGACTATGTGGATGCTGTGTCAATGACAATGTGGATGCTGTGTCAATGACTATGTGGATGCTGTGTCAATGGTTGTATGGATGCTGTGTCAAAGGTTATATGGATGCTATATCAAACAAAGGCTATGTGGATGCTGTGTCAAAGGTTATGCTTTCTTCAGGTGCATAGCCTGTACTCAGAGCTATTCAGAAGAGTACTCTGAGGCAAAGGGTGTGGCTGAGTGGTGGAGCACGCACCTAACACTCTCAAAGCCAACCCCAGCACCACCAAGTTTGACTTTGTTTTGTTTTTAGTCATTTTCAACCTGCCTGCTCTCGCTCCCCAACAGCCTCCTGAGGTTTCTTATTGTCACACACATTCTACAGATGAGGAAACAGAGGCTCAATAAGGAAATCTGGTTTGAGAGCTACAGCGGCCTCTTAGGGCTAACGCAAGCCCAGTTCTCTCTCACCTTCCCAGTGCTCTAGCAGCAGAAGGCAGCTGGCAGTGGGTCCCTTATCTGGCAGGAAGCGGGTAGAGGTACAACTTCTCTTTGGATGGTCAGGCTTCAGAAAGCACCCTTGATCTCTGATTCAGATGACTGCTGCTATGATAATATGACTCCAAACAAAGTGCTCATGTCCAGTTTTCTCCTGTCATTTTTATTTGCACTCCTGAGTGTGTGTGTGTGTGTGTGTGCAAGCACGCGCACGCACGTGTGTCCCAGGACAACCTGAAATGTTATGTTCTGGAATCCTTTGCAACAATGTCTCTCACTGTCCAGAAGCTCACCAATTAGGTTAGATGGCTGACCCACAAGCTTTGGATCCTCCTGTCTCTGCCTTCCCAGTACTGGGATTACATACACACACACAGCATTTTCATGGGTTCTGGGCATTGAACTCAAGTCTTCATGAAAGGCAATAGCTTCAGTGATTGATTCATCTCCCCAAACCCTTTTATTTTTTGCAACAGGCTCACTATGTAGCACAGGTTGCTCTTGAACTCATGATCATGCTGCCTTTGCGTCCCAAGAACTGGGATTAGTCATGGACCATCACCACTGGCTTTAGATGCTCACTTCTTTAGATCCTCTCAGGGAAACCCTGGAACCACATCTTCATGAGCTTAGCTGCTGTGTGTCCTCCAGGATCTACTGCTGACTGATGCTGACCAGTGTCCCTGAGCACACTTGTGGGTCTACTCCTTCCTATTCTGCACACACACCTGGACACTAGTGCGCACTCATGTGCGTGCACACACACACACACACACACACACCATCTGGACACACACATACCACACACCTGGACATACACACACACCACACCACACCTAGACACACACACACACACACACACACATACCACACCTGAACACATGCACACAAACACACACATACGGACACATGCACACACACATACCTTATGTTGTACCTCAAGCCCAAAAGATGCCAGCTAGGTGCTCCTACAGGGAGATACTTTGTCTTCCCAAGGGCCCTGGAGTCAAAGATTCAAAATCTTGGAGCTAGTGTGGAGGTGGGAAGGGTGTTCCTAGTGCAGCTGAATTGCAGCTGTAAGCCCAGTATGAGGGGCAGGACTCCAGGACTCCAGGCTCCTAGAGAATGTTCCAGAAAAGTGGGCCCTACATCCAGCATGTTTTCCTTCAGTGTCACCCCCAAATCATGTTTTGAGTTGAGGTTGAAACTGGGCTTTGGTTTCAAAACTTGTGGTGACTTTTCACCTTGAGGCTGGAGTTCTTCCCCAGGTGGCCAGGGCCTCACATCCAGAACAGACTGGAGTCAGGATGCAGGGCAGGGGCAGCGAGTTCAGGGCTCTTGCTGTGATCATCTTGGCCTTGTATTGTGTCCTTTTCCTTGACAGTGTTTACTTTGCTTAGAGTCTTTTGTATGCTTTGTTTTTCTTACAGCTTGTCTCTGTAAATTTTCTGGTAAAACAATAAATAAAAAAACAATGACTGCAATTTCCTCCTGGGTCTTTGTGTTTGTTTTGGCAAGTATTTGTATCCAATCTCAGGGATGCTAATTTGCCCAAATTTTTCTCCTGTCAGTACCATCAAGAAAATATGGCTATCAGTGAGCTGAGAACTAGGAAGGAGTTTTAAGATTAATTAGGTTGGTGAATTCGTGCTCTTTCTCTCTCTCTTTGTGTCTCTCCCCCTCCTTCCCGTCCCCCTTTCTCTCTCTCCCTGTCCCCCTGTCATCAGTCCCCTTCCCGCAGGGTCTCATGTAGCCCAGGTTGACCCCAATTCCCTACATAGCAGAAGACAACCTTGACTATCTGACCCTCCTGCCTCCACCCCCCAAGTGTTGTGATTATAGGCATGTGATACCACAACCAGTATTTCCTGTGCTGGCATCAAACTCAGAGACCCTAGTGGGCTGGGGGCGTGTCTACCAACTGATCTACAGCCCCAACTTCTGTTTGTCATCTGTTTTTCTAGGACTCATCAGATTGACACAAGTAAAAGAAAACTGTCATGTAAATAAAGTCAAAATCGTTCTTCCAACACAGATGAAATAAAAACTCTGAGTGACCGGATAGCATCTGAATTGACTTCTATGAAAATCAACTTTCTGTTTGTGGAAATATGAGATCATGGTGTGTCATGTTATCAGCAGGACCTTGGAGCTAAGCAATTGTGAAGGTTAAGGTCACATGGCTCAGAACTGTAGAGCTCTACTCTGCTACAGCATGGCTTTAATCCCTCTCTCTACTTAGGAGGTGGTGGCCAGAGGATCAAAAGTTTAAGATTATCCTCAGCTACACAATAAATTCAAGGCTAGCCTGGACTATAATATCGAAAAGAAAACAAGAGCCAGGCAGTGGTGGCGCATGCCTTTAATCCCAGCACTCGGGAGGCAGAGGCAGGCGGATCTCTGTGAGTTCAAGGCCAGCCTGGTCTACAGAGTGAGTTCCAGGACAGCCAGGATTGACAAACCCTGTCTCAAAAAACCAAAAGAAGAAAAGAAAACAAACTGCATGCACACCACAGGGGCTCAAGGCAGTGAGAAAAAGGAGAGGGAGGAAGAGAAAGAGAAAAATAAGATGATGGTAGGAATCAATGCTCTGGGGAGGGAGCCTCCACAGCTTTCCCTTAGAATCAGTCATGGAAGGTTGGTGATATGCTACAGAGAACCCTATCTTCAGAATCTCAGGCTTGGAGGGACAGTAGGGGCTGCTGATTGGCGGAGGGAAGATCCAGAATGAAGCCATGCACGGGACACATCCCAGGGCTCAACAGAAGCACAGACCAAATGCTTGTGCCTCTGGATCATCCCAGGAATCCTGGCCCATAAACAAACCAGTCTTTTTTTATGAGACAGGGTTTCTCTGTATTGTTTTGGAGGCTGTCGGACCAGCCCAGCCTCGAACTCACAGAGATCTGCCTACCTCTGCCTCCCAAGTGCTGGGATTAAAGGCGTGTGCCACCACCGCCTGGCCAAGCCAGTATTCTTGCCCAAGATGCTGGACACCTTGTGGAGTAGCAGGGGAGAACCAGACTCTGGGAAAGAGGCAGGGTGTAGACACCATAGCACTAGACCCAAGGAAGGGCAGACAACATGCTGCCTCTGTTTTTGAAGCCCCAGAAAGCCCAGAGTGAGGTGTTAGGAGGCCCCACCTTCTTTATCACTTTCATCTCCTGCCCACTTTGCCTCCCAGCCTGTCCCCATTTCTGCCCACACAACCACCAAGCTACTGACCCCACCCCAGTATGCTTTGCTCCAACTACCACAAGCTCTCTGCACCTGTGCCTGTACTCATGGAACTGCTAAGCTGCCAGGCACAGCTGTGCAAGCTGGCCACCACACAGGGTGTTGCTTCCACACTGCAGACATCACAGGCTGCTACCAGAAGTCTCTAGCAGGTGGCAGGAAGAGGCACCTGTTTTCATTTAATCACCCGTACATCAGGGCCATCTGGGCCAGCAGGGCTCTGCTGTTTGCTCTGCCTACAATATAGCCTTCCCCGTGTTTCACGCTTCACAGAGCTCACTGTGGCTCCATCACTTGATCCTCTTCTCCCTGAAGATAGCCATAGCAACCCTCTTCTCGCCACGTCCGGTTAACGTCAGTCAATGCTAACTTCGGATAACAGGAGTCAATAATGCCTGGTAGAGATTTCCGGAAGACACGGTTATGGCTGGACCCGTGGGTTGAATTGATTAGTCAAAAGTAACACACTCCTTTCAATCTTCATTGCTTAAACAGGAACATTAAATATATATATATAAAACTCGGCTGGTTTTGCTTTTCTCCAGCACACGCTAATGACCAACTTGAGTCATGTCATGAGTAAGCAGGTTAGAGTCAGGGAGGCTGTGGCTGCTACTGAGACTTACACAGCCCTTCTTCAAACTGCATTTGACCTCTTGGTGGGGCTAGCTTCTGTCTACAGTATCTGAGACTGAGTTTCTGCTTCCTGGAGTGTTATAATAAAGTTTTGTTTACAAACTGATGGGTCTGTTTAAGGTTCCAAGTGCACATCAGATCATATCCAAGTTGAGCAGAAAATCAGCCAGGGGTGGGGAAGTGGGGGGGGCAGGGGGAGCTGGAAGGATGAGAGTTTAATGTGCAGGTTCTGAAGCCAGACTGCCTGGATTTGGGTGCAGCCATTCCCTGTGGGGCCTTGGGCAAGTCTGTCCCATCTCTGGGCCAGCTGTCTTTCACACTTTCAACTGGAAGGATTATGATGCTAATCTAGGTAGTCTGGAAGCTATCCTGAGACATATGTGAAGACACTGGCAGCCAGGCACAGCGGTACACGACTGTGATCTCAGCACTCAGAAGGCTGAGGTGGGAGGATCCTGAGTTTGAGGCCAGTCTGGGATACATAGCAAGACCTTGTCCTTAAGTGTGTGTGTGTGTGTGTGTGTGTGTGTGTGTGTGTAGCACATAAGTATTTTTTCTGCATGAATGTATACGCATCACATGCATCCCTGGGGTCTATGGAAGCCAGAAGAGGGCATCAGGTCCCCTAGGACTGAAGCTATAGCTGTTTGTAAGCTACCACATGGGTGCTAGGCATTGAACCCAGGTCCTCTGGAAATACAGACAGTGCTCTTAACCACTAAGCCATGTCAACAGCCTCTAAACCTTGTCTTAATAAATGAGTAAACAAGCAGACAAGCAAATAGGCTGGAGATGTAGCTTAATTGGTAGAACTCTTGCCTAGAATGTGCAAGATCCTGGGTTTACTTCCGAGAAGAAGGCAGCTCATAAATTTAAGATTATCTTCTACAGAGGAAGTGCAGAGATCCTAGGTCATCCTTGACTATATGGGAAACTTAAAGACAGCTTGGGTGGTATGACCTGCTCCCTCTCTAGAAAAAAATGATCTTTGTATCTATTTCTATGTTTATGACCCATTGTTTTAGTTGCTACTACAAGTAGGTGTACCAGGTGGGTGCAATTGTTCACAGACTGGAAGATATTTCGGCTGTAGGAACTTTTATTAGCAGGGGGAGATGGGACATTGAGGCAGTGAGGACTGCAGCAGGGAGGGAGGGATGCAGCTTGGCTCACTTGGGGGGCTCAGCGGTCAGCACCTGGAAGCAGCCCTCTCGATGCCACTGGCGGTCCCTCAGGCGACGGACAGCCTGCATCTGCGGCTGGAAGGCACCCCACTCATTCCAGTGTCGGAAATCGCCGGGCTCCAACAGATACTGGTAGCCACGGTAGCCCGGGTACTGGTAACCAACCCATCTGGGAAGAGAGCAGGAAAGGTGTAGAGGCGGTCAGGGTCCCCCCACTCCTCCCCATCCTCTCTTTTGCTACCCATCTTGCATCTAGTATCCCAAGAAGGGCCACACACATGTCCTGGCTTGGACTTTCCTGCCCCATACCCTGGGTCATGACCTTCCCCTTCCTGATAGGCCTCAGCATTCTCCCATGAAAAATGGGCACAGTTTTGTGGGCATAGTCATGTGGCTATTGTCTTGAACACACTTGGGGACCAGATTGAGTGAATGCCCCCACATCCAGGAGGAATGGAGTCCAATACAGGGGTCTAGAGCTTCCAGGTGATGAGGACAAGCCACCAGGAGCTTTGTCTCCAAACCTGGGTGCCCTTCACACACAATGAGTCTCCCTGGCTACTGTAAACACTATTCAGTGTCAGAAAACCTACAGTCAATCCCAGGAGCTGAACTGTGTGGGTCTACTCTCTGTTGGGTGGGGATGGCGGTGACTCCACCCCCTCCATGTCTGGTGAAGATTCACTTAGTCTGATGGGCGAGGGCAGCTCAAAGGAGCCCTCACCGAGGAAAGACACAGTGATTCACTCTTAAGCTCTGTCCCTGCCTGAACACAAGCCACGTCTTTCCAAGCCCTTCTCTGACTTGTTGCTTGCCATTGGCTTGTTTCTGTGAAGGAATAGCCAGATCCCATTCCGTTCCTTCCCACCTGCTACAGGTGGGTGGACAGACTGGGGGGGGGGTTACGAGGTCTTTCCCAGGGACCTGATGTGACTTTCATCTCTGGCAGCCTTAGCCTCTGACTCTGCACTTGCTGTGGGGGCCCAGAACCTGGATGCTTACGTGCCACCAGAGACGGTCACGCTGCCCACACGGTCACAGAAGCCATATACCCAGAGGCTGGGCACATCATCCTCTTGGATCTCCATGGTGTTGCCCTTGAAGTTGGCACCTTCAAACAGGCAGATCTTATGCTCCTGGGAATCCTGGGGAGGCCAAGACCAGTCAGAAATGGAAGCGGTGAAGGGAGAAGAAAGGGGTTTTGAGGGACCCATGGGGCTTGTCCAGTGAGGACCCTCTTCATCTGGGAAGAGGAGATAATGGTTGCTGCATCTCAGGTGCCCAAGGATAAAATGAGGTCATCCACACAGGCTTAAGCTCGTATGTGGAAATGTGTGGCCTCACCCTGCAGCAACACAGAGGCCCAGAGAGGTCGAGCATATTGATTTACATCACACAGCCAGCAAGGGATAGCACTGTTTAGAGGTGCGGTTTCTGAGTTATTGGCAAGGCCCATTTGCTGTCTTTGTATATGAACTTCTTCCAATCAGAGTGAACTAGAATAGACAATGGGGTTGTGGGAGGGCTCATGGAGTGTGGAACTGGGTTTGAATCTTGACTGCGGTCCTTATGCCCAATACCTTGGGCATCTCACTCTGTCCTTCAAGCCTCAGTACTTTCTCCCATAGAATGGGTTTGCTGGCACTTCACCCATGGGACCGTGGGTAAAAGACTTTGTAGTCGAATGATAGACCTGGAAGAGACTGAGGTGCACCCCTGAATGTCAGCATAGAAGAGTTCTGGCTGCAACTGGTTGTTGTTGTTTCAGCTGTTGGCTTTGTTTTTCGTTTTGAGGCGCTGGGGGTGGAATCCTGGTCCTGCTGCATGCTAGGCAAGGGCTCTTCCGATGAGCCCCAACCCCAACCCACACTGAGTTTTAACGGGTGAAGTGCTCGACACAGAGATGAGCGGCCCGCAGTGCAGACCCAGGCCCAGCCCATTGCCCACAAGCTGTGCAGCATGAAGAACTTCATTTTCCATGTCCGGGCCTCAGTTTCCTTATTGTTACGAGTGTTGTAATGGTTTCTGCCTGCTAGGGCTGCTGATTCCAGAAAAGGAAGAGGAAGCACCGAGTATACAATAGGTGCTCAATAAAGGAGTGCTTTGGTCACCATGGTCAGCTAGCAACAGGGGGAGGGCAGGGCACAAGAGCATCCTTCGGTGAGGCACAGTGGAAGACTGCAAATGAAGTCAGTCCACTAGCTCTCCCAGAGGGAAGGGATTGAATCAAGGGAGGTGTCACAGGAGAAGGGAAATTTAAGAGGGGCTTTGTAGGTCAAGTAGGAGTATGAGAGCCAGAGAAGGGAAGTAGGGCAGAGGTCGCACTGAGCAGAAGAGAAGGCATAGGCATAGACAAAGTCTGTTGTGCTGGACCACAAATGGTCCTAAAAGAGGATGTGTGGTACAAGGTAGGGATGGGGACACGGAAGACAAATCCACTACTTAATCAAGGTCAGTGGCTGTCACCTGTAGCTACCGCCATTCTGAGGACCTTGAGGAGGGCCAGCCAGTCGGTGGCTCCCCACGGCAATGGTGGTGAGACCTCGTAGTGTCCCACAAGGCCCTGTGGGACCCCACCTCTCGGATGCTCCTTCTCACCCTGCCCACCCCCACCCCATCCACTCCTGCTGCAGTCATGTCTGTCCATGCTAGTGTTTGCTTTCTTCAGCTAGTCTGAGTCTGCTGCAGGACCCGGCTCTTGCTGGCCCCTGGACAGCTCTTCCTCCAGCTCTCCTGGGGTGGCCTCAGCTCTCAAGCCTCAGGTGCTGGATGTCCTGCCCACGACCTGCCAGCCCTAGTTTCACCCCCTACCGGTCCCAAGCAGCACAGGCCAAGGTTTTCCTGGTTACAGATGGACTTCCAGGGCCTGGGGCAGAGCCGGCAGAGTCAGGCTACCCCAGAGTGCCTAATAGGGTCTCAGCTATGTAGCCCTGTCTGGCGTGGAATTCACTCTGTAGACCAGGTTGACTGTACACGTTCAGAGATCTGCCTGCCTCTGTCTCTTTGAGTGCTGGGTTAAAGGTGTGTACCACCACATTCAGCCCCAATAATCAGGCTTGATTTGGGAAATGACTTTCTAATTTTCATGAAAGTGGGAAGAAAGGGAGGCAAGGTACTTTAGGAGAAGGACAATGATGGCCCAGGACAGTCACAGGGGACACATAGGACACGTCAGACAACTGGACCATGGCCCTAAGTGTAAGAGACTACCTGGGGTGGGGGTGGGGTGAAGTGAAGGGGCTAGTGCCCCCAGGTGCAGCTATAGATTGGGAACTAATTGATCTGGGGTGAGGTTGGGCATTAAGAGTTTTCAATTTTTCTAATGTATTTTTTTTTTTTTTTTTGGTTTTACGAGACAGGGTTTCTCTGTATTGTTTTGGAGGCTGTCGGTCCAGCCTGGCCTCGAACTCACAGAGATCCGCCTGCCTCTGCCTCCCGAGTGCTGGGATTAAAGGCGTGTACTACCACGGCCCGGCCGGTTCTAATGTATTTTTCTAATATGCCTAAAATACAATCGCAATCTTAATTTGGCCAAAGTGATCAATGAGAGCATAACCTTTTATACCTGTGAGAAAGACATGGCGGTGTGTTTAAAATCAGGAGTGTGTTTCAGGATTTTGGGCACGTCTCCATCCAGACCAGACAAATTTCACAGGTTCAGTAACTACTTAGGATCTGATTGTGGTGGTGCACACCTGTAACCCCAAGAAAAACAGGAAGCCCGGGCTACAGTGGGAGACCCTGTCTCAAAACGCAAAGCAACACACACCCAGCTACTACTACTACAAATGGTGAGTGCTTACAACATCAGAGAGCAACCTCCAGAGCAGTGGTTCTCAGTCTTCCTGACACTGGGACCCTCATGTCTCAGGACAGTTCCGCATGTCATGGTGACCCCCCAACCATAAGACTATTTTCATTGCTACTTCATTACTGTCATTTTGTCACTGTTATGCATCATAATGTAGACATTTTTGGAGACATCATAATGTAGACATTTTTGGAGACATCATAATGTAGACATTTTTGGAGACATCATAATGTAGACATTTTTGGAGGCAATGGGGTGGCGGCCCACAGGCCATTGCCCTAGGGGGGGTTACTGTTCGTTGGTGATGCCCTGGTTGAGCACCCTTCCCAGCTGCACCCATTACACAGATGGACATACAAGGCCTTCAAGGGTTTGAAGCTAAGCTCTGTGTTCTTACAGTGTGATCTGTGAAGGCTGAATTCCAGCCTGGAATTCTCAACATGCTGCAATCACTCTGGCTGCCCAACCCACAGCGACACATTAGTAACACCTCAAAGTCCTGGGTGAGCCTTCATGAATACATTTTCTTCACAGATGTTCCCACCTCAAGAGGTGAGAGTCGGTGCCATCAGAAACCGGCACATGTGATTGAAAAGTAATTGGCTCATGACTCATAATCAATTCGTAATTCTGGAACAACAACACACCATGCAGGGCTGTCGTCTCTAAACATCACAAAGCTAACTCAGCACTTGTCATATTGTCAAGATGTCACAACTATTTCCCCCAAAGTCCCTTTCTTAGTCACTTCACAACTTTATTCCTGTTTTGTTTTCTTTTGTTTTTTTGCAACAAGGTCTCACTTGTAGCCAAGGCTAGATTTGAACTCATAATCCTCCTGCCTCCACCTCCTCTGTGTTGGGATCATGGGCCTGTGCCCATGCTCACCATAGACCTCTGTCCCAGTCCCAGCCACTCACCATCCTGATGGGCCGGAAGGACATGAGCCGGTCACTGCGGTAACTGCTGGTCCAGGTGTCCCAGCGTGGGTACTCGCCTTTCTCCAGGACGAACATCTCCCCACGGAAGGCAGATTGCTCAAAGGCCACCCAGCTGAGCACAAGAAGGACCAAGAGGGACAGAGACAGAAAGGTGAGGGTATCAGCAAGTGTCCTCCCCCGCACAGCGGCCCAAACACCAAAATGAAGACCGAAGGTGGGTCCAGCGTGTCGGGGTTTCATTCTGTGCCACACCCCTCACTTCTGTGTGGCTACAGACAAGTGTCTTTTCCTCTCCAAGTCTCCATCACTTTACCTACACTAACATTTTCTGGAGTTGACAAAGCATTCAATGAGATACTGTTCATAATTATCCAAGCAAACTATTTTAGCAAATATGAGATTCACGCAGGTTTTCTTTTTTTTTTTTGGTTTTACGAGACAGGGTTTCTCTGTATTGTTTTGGAGGCTGTCGGTCCAGCCTGGCCTCGAACTCACAGAGATCCGCCTGCCTCTGCCTCCCGAGTGCTGGGATTAAAGGCGTGCGCCACCAACGCCCGGCTCACGCAGGTTTTAAATACTATAAGGCCCCGGGGTCAACTAACTTACCAAGAAGGATTTTCTTTTAAATTACTAATAGCTGGGAGGAAGTCTCTTCCTGCTGCAACTGTGACTCTAACGCCTACTGGTCACTTCTTTCCAACCATGGGAGCAACAGCCCTGCAGGCCCGGGTATGCAGTGCTGCTTTGAGTTCAAAGCAAGGCTTCTCATGGGTACCCGTGACTTACAATGGAACTGGGCTTTCGACTGTCTGAGGGGTATAGGCTTCTGTTCAAAGGATTGTTTAAAATAAAACACAGGAGCCGGGAATGGTGATGCACCCTGCAAACCCAGCACATGGGAGAAGCAGTGAGATCATGATATCTGTGGCCAACCTGGGCTACACAGTGAGGTCCTGTCTCCAAACATGGAAATGAAATCAAAGGAAGCAAATGTGAGTAGAATGTGAGGGAGAAAATAATTCACATTAGCTGAGACCTAGCCTGGCAGGCAGGATGCCCACTGTTAGGTGGGTGGCGCAGAGGATGAGCGTGGGAGTGAGGCTCAGGTACCTGTTGAATTCTCATGATGTGACACAGCACATGAGAAGGGCTTGGCCTTCCGCAGAGTGAATTGGACATTCAAAATCTAGTGGGTGATTTTTCACTGTGGTCTAATTAGGAAGCTTAGGGCAAAGATTCTAGGGGGAGGTGTGATCCTTACTCCATGTGTTTGGTATTCTAAGGGACCAAGAGAGACTCAGTGGAACACCGCTATGAGTGCTCTCTTCCTGAGGGATGCTGGGACCTTCTCATCAGAACAAGGGCAATGAGGAGACACTATCACGGACTGAGAAAGAAGCCCCCCAGGAGTCTCAGGATCTTGTCTGAGGGATGAACCAACCATATTGAGGTGGCAGAACGGAAGATGTGGAGTTGCCCTCAAAGAACGCTACTGAGGTTTTGTTAGCAGACTGGAGAAGAAGAGCAAAGGGTAGGTGGGTGGATGTATGGATGTATGGATGGAGAGATGGATGGGTGGATGGGTGTGTGGACTGATGGATGGATGAATAGTGGATGGATGAGTGGATAGGTAGGTGAATGACTGGGCGGATGGGTAGAAAGGTGAATAAGTGATGACAGCAGGATAGTTGTTGGCTGAGTAGTTGGATTGTTGGGCCTAAGAAAGGCTGGGATGTGAGGCCCAGTGTAAGCTCCTGAGCCTGGCTAGAGTTTAGCGACCTTTCTCTAACCTGTAACCTCCACGTGGGGGTGACTCAGCCAGACCTGATGTAAGGTTGCTCCTGCCTAGCTACCTGCCTGCTTGGTGGAATATTATTGGCCCTTACTCCTCATGTCACCTTACCTGTCCTATGTTTCCCATCCCCTACCTCAGCCCTATATAAGTTCCTGCCTGTTGGAATAAATCGAGATCCTGCTTCGACAGACTCCAGACTCAGTGTGTATTTTTTCTCCCCAGTAACTAATGGGGGGGGAGGGTCTGAGTCGTTGACACCATCCCGCTCAGCCCCCTGGAAGAGACTGGCTGGACCAGCCCTTCCCCCACTCTACCTATCAGGGAGGACCTGACATCGGATGAATGAACAAATAGATGACATGGGGATGGAAAGATGTATAAAAGAGAACGGATGGAAACTAGACTGATGGATTGGCCTATAGACGGATGCACAGATGGGTAGGTGACATATGTGATGGACAGAGTGGGTAGACAGGGAGGGACCCTCAGAAGGAGGTGCCACACAGGTATGAAGAAGACCAGAGACCTGAGTTCTATTCCAGCTAATCATTGACTTATTCACACATGACTTGGAGCAGTCACTGACCGTAGTTAAACATCAGCAAAAGAGAAGAAGCAACTGCTTGCACATCCCTGGAAAGTTTGAGGGTCTGAAACCAGGGAATTCATGGAGCACGAGGCTCACACAGTGATCTCATCTATGATCAGCGAGGGGGAAGCTGCCACTTACGTAAGACGAGACAGATGTGGTCTAACCACCTGCTCCTCTTCCCTCAACACTCCTCCGTCCTCTTTGGGTAGCCCAAGAGGACTCAGTCAGCAGTGAGACATGTCAAGTATGTGTCCCGGTGCCCATCCTCATTGCCCATGGCTCATCTGAGCCACAAGCAAGAAGAGGAAGGCAGGAATCAAATGAAACCTCAGCCCTGAGAGGTGGTACCCAACCCCAGTCATGCCATGGTATCGGGTTTCAGGCCACGATCTCCTCTCTTCATCCTTTCTTCCCACACACTTGCCCCTGGATCTCAGCCCCAGTCTGTTCCTTTTGGGCACAACCCTTGAACACACACACACACACACACACACACACAAGGACATGGGCATAGCTGTCTCTCTTTTTTGAGGAGAAATACTCTGGGTTTGAGTCATCAGCATCCCAAACATTCTGAAACCTCAAGATGGCCACATCCAGCAGTTCCTGTCCAAGAGTGGCTTAGGGGATGGGTGGGGCTGACTTGGGGTTGACCACACCAGGGATGGAGTGGGCACAAGAGGCACGAGTGGCCCCCAAAACAGAGCATAGACCATGGTACGCTGCTGTAAAAACCCACAGGGAAGTGGGGGAAGGTAGATGGGCATCACTGCCGTCTGCCGTGCCTGGGCATCTACAGTGCCAACCCTACTCTGTCTCAGAATCATTCTGACTCTCCTTGCTTCAGAGTCAAGGAAACAGGCTTGAAGACGGAACAAGATACAGGAGGGAGTGAGCATTGGAACCCAAGCAGGTCTGATCTCAATCTGACCTTGAATCCAAGCTGGTCCCTCCCTTTGTGCTGTGGGCAACTTGAGATGCCTTAAACACTGGCTGGTCACACACCCTCTGGGTGTTTCATGGTGGGGAAACAATACCGGAGAGGTTGCGATGGCCTCAGCTCATGGAGATAGCCCTGGAGAGCTAGCCTGCTGCTTCTGAGAACCAGGAGTGAAATCCAACAGCCTGTGACAGATGTGGGCTCTGCCCCTCAGCATGGGTGACCTCACCCATTGGCTCAGGCCTTCAGAGCCTCTGTCTCCCTGTCTGTTGACTGGGGGTGGGGGTAGCCCTCTCTTGGACAACTTGGTGTTGCTATAGTTGACATGCCATGCACCTGCTTTTTACACTATAGATGTTTGGGAGAGAGGATGGCTGGGGACATGTTTCCTCCCCTGGTAGCCTTACACTGCTCAGGTCGTCTCTGACTCTGTTTCTTTGTCTGTCAGTGAGGGAATGCAGAGAAGCTAGGGAAAGGCCAAGGGGTGGCTACTGGGTGCCAGGGAAATGTCGCTGTTTTGTGGCAGAGAATGTCCCTCCCCCTCAAGCACTCACGGTCCTGAGATGACGATCAGGCTGCGCACTCGGTCAAAGCCACGGTCGCCCAGGTTCAGGCACTCCCCTGAGAATTCAACCCGACGGCCCTGGAAGTTTTCCTGCTCGAAGACAACTAGCTGCAAAGAGAAGTCCCCCCACACCCAGGGGGCAGATTGAGGGATGGCCTGGCTCCGTGACCCTGGCCCCAAAATGAACCAAATCTGATAGGAGAGGGGCTCAAGTCCAACAACTCTTGAAAGGCATGTGTCAATCAAAACAGGTGGCTTGGACCCAACAACTCCTGAGGCATGTGTCAATCAAAGCAGGTAAGGCTGGCAACTCGTCAGGATGCTGGGAGCTTCAGTTTGTGAATGAGCCTCCTCTCCAGTCTCCCCTACTGATCTCACGATCAGTACCATGGTCATGTGTAGCAATGGATACCAGTTACCAGTGTCTCCCATCCTAGGTCTCTATGTAGCCTAGGCTGACCTGGAATCTATTCTGTAACTTGGGCTAGCTTTGAACTTGGGATGCTCTGTCTCTGGCCTCCACCACCCACTGCTGGGACTAAGTGTGTGTGCCCAGTCCTAGTTCCTTCCGCGTGCTATTTCTCAGCCTGGCATGACGTCTTCACCAGGAGTCCCCACTTGGATTTTCCACTGCCTAACTCATATTCCAGGCTATATGCATGGTCCTATCCTTGTTCCTGCTTGCAGAAGCCACTTTTCACCAGGAAGCCTTCTGGGATTGCTCCTCCTCTACCCTGGGCAGGGGCTGAATGCCTCCCACTGCAATGCCCCTTATAGCCAAGTACAACCCTGGGAAGTCACCACTGCCTCTGAGTCTCGGTCCTCCACCTTTTCCTCCTCCTCCTCTTCCTCCTCTGTCTCCTCCTCTTTTTCTTTCCCCAACCTCTACTCCCAAAGGTCTCTTCAGGGCAGGGCATGCTCTGTTTCCTTGGTTGTGGACCCAGACATAGGTAAGGCTCACTCGTCTGTAACCCAGTGCACAGCCAACCCCTCCTACATTCAGGCTGGCCTGACATCAGGCGCCTTGCAGCACTAGGATGGCTTCACACTCTAGTGGGTTGCCCCCTTTTTTAGACATGTGGAACCCCAAGGTTCCCAGAATGTCTGGGAAGGAAGAGGCCACGGAGGATGGAGAGCCGGTCAGGGAGGATGGAGAGCCGGTCAGGGAGGATGGAGAGCAGGTTAGGGAGGATGGAGAGCAGGCCAGGGAGGAAGGAGAGCAGGCCAGGGAGGATGGGGAGCAGGCCAGGGAGGATGGGGAGCAGGCCAGGGAGGAAGGAGAGCAGGCCAGGGAGGATGGAGAGCAGGTTAGGGAGGATGGAGAGCAGGCCAGAGAGGATGGAGAGCAGGTTAGGGAGGATGGAGAGCAGGTTAGGGAGGATGGAGAGCAGGCCAGGGAGGATGGAGAGCAGGCCAGAGAGGATGGAGAGCAGGCCAGAGAGGATGGAGAGCAGGTTAGGGAGGATGGAGAGCAGGTTAGGGAGGATGGAGAGCAGGCCAGGGAGAATGGAGAGTAGAAAGAGTTGAGGGAGGGAAAGCATAAGGAGGCAGAGATTCAGAAACACAGAAAGGAGAGGAGATCTGCAAAGGGGGGAATGAGGAGGAAGGAAGGGAAGGGAGAAGAGGACTGATGAGTAGGATATGGATCTGTAAAGTCCCTGCCCCCGTCCTTACCCTGTAGCTCCCAGGAGGCAGGTCCCCTACTTTGGCACTGGGCCTGGGCACAGAAGCCGGGACTGGGGTGGGGCCAGGGGCTGGGACTGGCCCTGTGGTTGGGCCTCCCTTCCCCTTGCCATCAGCCCCCGGGTTCACCGCCGTGGTGGCCGCAGCCTTAGCAGCCTGAGACATGGTTCCTGATGCTGCAAAGAAAAATGAATCTTTGGGCTGGGTGGTTTTGGGGTGGCAGTCCTAAACTGCCCCCACCCTTATGCTTCTCACCCCATGCCAATGGGCTCCTTCACAGATATTGACTCTCCCCGGAAGCACGCATTGAGGCTGTCCCTCCCTTGAGCTGTGTCTTTCCTTCAAGCCCCACACGCTGCTCTTCCCTTCCTTGACCCCCGTGTTTCTTCACTGTCACGTGTGTTTGTAGCATGTCACCAGGTGAGTGACAGTCACACCCTGGAGTACTCCATCAAATACAATAACGAATGCCTCACACCTTGACTTTGCCTGTGGGCTTCCTGGAGTCAGGATCTTCCCCCTAGAGTCTAGCTGCAGTAAAGGTGCCCTGCAGCCCACACGGCAGGCAGTCCGTCAGCTCCCTCCTCAGCCAGCAGATGGACAAGCATCTGGGTTACTAAATGCAACCATGTAAACACTCCTGTCTGGTCCTTAGCACGTGGCTCTGTGCCAGGCACATGGGAACTGCTCGGCCAACATCTGCTCAGGGAGCGAGTGCAAATGTGTGTGTGTGCATGTGTGTGCGTGTGCGTGCGTGCGTGTGTGTGTGTGTGTGTGTGTGTGTGTGTGTGTGTGTGTATGGCCTGAATCTCTCCCAGCCATCCTCCCCTGGCATCCTCAGAGGGCAGATATGGGTGTGCAAATACCAGCCTGGCACTTGGGTCTGGGAGGCACAAGAGACGGGAGTGGTTTGCTTCCGGCGATCTACACTAGAACGGTGCCTTGTGGGCACTGGGTGGAGGGGACTCTGGTCAGCTCCACTGGTCCCTCAAGAAACACAGACTTCTTGGCATGGGTCATGCCTGACTGCACTGTCCCCTGGGGCAAGGTCACCCAAGGTTCTGCTGATAATTTTCCAACCACTGGAGTACTGAGGCCCAGAGCAAGCTCCTTGGGTCCAGCCGGGTTCCCGACATCCTCTCTCTAACTGGGGCGAGTACATACCTCCTGGCCTTCCGCAGGAAGACTGGTTGCTCAGCTGTCCACACATCTGGGCCACATCTGGGGGTTTTAGTCACCCTCAAGCTTGTCCCTGTCCTGGGAAACACTCCCCAGAGGCTGGTTTTCATTCCCGGGCATGTGTTCAACCTCCCATTTTCTGCCTCTCTGTCTCCCTCTCTTCTTCTCTCTCTGTTTTGAGATGGGGGGTCCCTCTCTGTAGCCCAGGCTAGTCTCCAATGCTCAGTAACCCTCCTGCCTCACCCTCCTGAGTACTGGTTAGACAAGCATGCATGAGCTCTGGCTTTTGCTTCCTCCCAGCATCTGCCCAGGTCTTCCTCATCCTCCCTCCCTTCATTTCCACCTTCCCCCAGCTCTCTGGCAGTGTGGCAGTCCCCTCTTACCTGTGTTGGAGAACAGGCGGGCCTGTGGGTGCCTCGGGGCCGACCCCCCATTTTATAACCTGGCAGACACCAGGGTCTATAGTGTGCAGCACAAAGAGGAAGCTGGCTCAGCAAGCCTGGACAGGGTCCAGCGCCGGCTCTGCCCCAGTACTGCACAGGCTAGCACTTTCCATTGTGGGCCTGGAACACAGAGAAACCCTGGCCCCAACCCTATTCTGACTCCAGTGTCCATTACCCTGGCTGGAGACAGGCCCAGGGCCCTGCTGGCTGCCAGCCTAGGGTAGGGAAGGGGCACCAGGGAGGAGGCGACCTGAATTAGAATTCTGCCTCGGCCACCAAACACAGCATGGCTTCAGAAGTCTCTGCCTCTGGGGGGTCTCCATCTAAAGGTACAGGTGACATGTCTCCCTGTGGGCTGCTGTACAGAACTGAAGACAACACTGAGCATGACATGTTCCATAAAGACGGAAGGGCTCTCAGTGCACAGACTCATTCCTGAGGGTTTGCAGCCTCTGGGCTTATGATTGGCTCTGAGACTCACCTGCTCCACCCTGGCTCTCACTATACCCATTTCTCAGATGCAGAAGGTTGGGTGCAGAGGTCAGCACTGGTCAGGCCAAGCAGGCAGACTGTGGTCTTCACACTTCATCTCAGGCCATCTGACTTTGGCCCTGACTGAGTTTTGCCGGACATCCTGTTTCTAGGGTGGTGGGGTGGGTCTGGGTCTCAGGCTCATGTGCTTGGCATTCAAGGCCTGGTTCCTTCCTAACTGCCCATCATCCTCCAGGGACTGACCCCAGGGGTGCTGCGCAGGGGCAGGAACATGAAGTCTCTAAGTAACCTCACATCCCAATGCACCTGGCTGGGCAAGGGGCCAGCCAGCGCTTCATGCGTGGCCTGAGTGGATCCTTGCAGGTCCCCGACAGTGTCAGGATAAAATGGGGGAGTCGGGGGGCTCCAGTGTTCACTGAAGAGGGTGGGGAGACAGAGGTAATGGACGGCCAAGGCGAGGACAGAGATCAAAGGGTAAAGAGCAATGGACAGAAAGGGAGGTGGAGGAGATGACAGACAGAAGGGGGAGGAGGAGGGAGCCCGAGAGAATGGAGCAGGCAGGGCAGCCATGTGTCCCGGTAGAAGGGTGAACCCCAGCAGGTGGAAGGCAGATGGTCCACCATTTCCCCAAATAGAAAAACCAAAACCCACAAAGGACAGATTTCAACCTTGTCCACAGTGTGAACTCTAAGTGTCCTGGGGCACGTCTTCAGCCGCAGTGGGGTACATTCCTCTTCTGAAAATCCCTTCTTTCTTCTTTGGGAAGTCCAGGACCCCCATGGAGCCCAGCTCTGTCTTGTGGTCACTCTGGCCCATGAGCCCCTCTCCCCACTAGCCTCCTGTTTTCCTTTCATCCTGGGCCAAGTCCTTGAAGGGCGAGCTGGGAACCACAGGACGGGGCAGCCACTGGGACACAGGCCAAGATGCCTGTGGTGGGGGCCACCCACAGGTCTGGGCTTCAAGGGCAGGCATCTGGGGTAATTTCGTCCCCCTACCGTCCTGGGAATGGCAGTCTGCCAAAGGCTCTGGGAGATGGGAGCAGCCTTCCTTGCTGGCCAGCTCTTCTCTGAGCACTTTGCAACTCTCTGTAGCCAGCCTTCCTATGAGCCATTTATAGACAAGAAAGTGGGTGGCTCCTTTGTCCCCTTCCAGCCCTCTTTCCCATCTGTCATGTGGAATTGGTGCTCACGTTATCCCTTATTTCTTATTAGTGTATTGAGACAGGGTCTCGTGTAACCCAGGCTGACCTCAAGCTGTCTATGTAGCCAAAGCTGGCTTTCCTGCCTCCACATCCCACGTGCTGGGGGATGCAGGGGAGCACCACCATTCAGGGCTGTGGGCTCAGTTCCTTCTAACCTCCTGAGTCCAGATTCTTAGGCACTATGAGCCCCTACTTTGGGGGAGCTGTCATTCATAATGATAAGTACTTCTACTATCAGCAAGGTTGGCAAAAGTGGCCAAGGCGCCCAGGCAGCTCTCACCATCCTATGCATCCAGGAGGACCATTAACATTAATTTTTTGTATTCCGTGTGTGTGTGTGTGTGTGTGTGTGTGTGTGTGTGTGTGTGTGTGTGTGTACACGCGCATGCACGCATGCGCTCACATGGAATTCAGAGACAACTTGAAGGAGGAGTCAGTTCTTTCCTTCCATCATGGGGTCTTCAGCATTGAAGTCACGTTGTCAGGCTTGGTGGTAGGTAACCCTTTGAACCATCTCATCAGCCGCAGTCCCGCTTTGTCTTTTTTTTTTTTTTTTTTTTCTTTTTTGAGACAGTTTGTCTCTGCAGCCCTGGCTGTCTTGGAACTTGCTCGGTAGACCAAACTGATCTTGAACTCACAGAGATCCGCCTGCCTCTGCCTCCCGAGTGCTGGGATTAAAGGTGTGGGTCACCGCCAGCTAGCCCACTTTGTCTTTTTATTTCCATTTAATACATGATGTGATTGAGGCTCAGACGCATTAGGAGCCTTCTCACGGGTGTGGCGTGAAGACCCAGGCTGCTGCATGTGGTGGCTGCATCCCATTCACCCTTCGCCAAGCCCTGCATATGTGACAGCTCTTTTGCCAAACTGGAAAGAAGAGATGTTGCTACTACCTGGCCATCAGGGGACTCACTCTTTCTCTGGGTCACCTCACCCAGCAGCAGGGGTGAGTTTTACCACAAGCGGTTCCTGCTGTGCTACCCACTTCTCTGACAGGCCCTTCCCAGACTTCCTCAGAGGCGGGGTTGAGGGGGGTTCCATGCCTTGGGTATTTGTCCACCATACTTAGCTTTGTGAAGCGTGCACAGCCACAGACGCTTCTGCAGGTCTTTCAGACTGCACCAACTCTGACCCTGACCATCATTCTTTTTTTTTTTTTTTTTTTGGTTTTTTCGAGACAGGGTTTCTCTGTGGCTTTGGAGCCTGTCCTGGTACTCGCTCTGTAGACCAGGCTGGCCTCGAACTCACAGAGATCCGCCTGCCTCTGCCTCCCGAGTGCTGGGATTAAAGGCGTGCGCCACCAACGCCCGGCTCTGACCATCATTCTTAACTCCCCCCGAAGATTTGTGTTCTGTCTCCTCTGTATTTGCTATCCAAAGTCTTTGCCCTGTGCTCTGGGGTTTTGCTTAGAATGCCCCACCTTCCAAGTCACTGTAGAAATTGTCTCCACCCTTTAAATAAGCGGTCTTAAGCTAGAGCCGGATACCAGTGGGAAGAGGCAGGGGCACGTGGAGCGTGGAGCAGAGCAGGCACAGCAGTCCCGAGGTCTGACTTATGTCTGTCCTACCAGGCAGACAGACAGAAGGTCACCCACCATCAAGGTGATGCTGGGCCCCAAGTCTAGTGTTTCCCTGGTGCTCGTCAGGTATCCTGCGGAACTGAGGGAGGTGGACTGTTAGCCTCTCGTCTTCTCTAGTGCTGACCCTGGGGCAAGCCACTGCTCCCTCCCTGCTAAAGCTAGAGCTGCTGACATGTCTATCCTGGGCCTTGGCCAGGGCCAGCTTTTGTTCCTACCACTGGCCTGCTGAGTCTGTGTTTGTCCCTTGGGGCCCCTGCCCCTTTCCTGCCTATAAGAGCCTGGCCTTGTCTGGTCCTAGTTCTGACATGTGCTCTGGGCCCTTCTTGGTAAGTCTGGGTTGGAGGCAGGAGTGAAACTGAGCTCTCTGGTGGTGGCATCTTTCTTTTTGGGGATGTCCCACTGGTCACCCTGAATGCCATCATAATCCAGTAGTCTCTGAAAGTCCAGAGTGCTGTCTGTGGCTCTTGTTTAAATGTCAAGGTCCCCCCCCCATCGTTCTGTGACCTGTGTCTACTATGAGAGCCATGCATCAGGCTAGTGCTGCATTTTTTTGGTGGGGGGGAGGGATGCACCACCTCATTCCACCCAAATAGCCACAGCAGTCCCACTGTGAGCTAGGGCTGGAGGTGATGACACCCAGATGTGGCTGAGGAGATGCCATTTGCAGGTGGGCGGGATGGGAGAAGGGTCACCCCAGTCCAGGAACACCCAGACCTATCTGGATTCTGCCCCTACTTCAGTCAAGGATGTGGCTGATAATCAGGTGAAAGGTGACTGTCCTCTTCTCTTCTAGGACCTGCCAACATGACCCTGCAGTGCACCAAGTCAGCCGGACACTGGAGGGTAGGGAGTGTCCCAGGGAGCAGGTGTCCTGGGAGGGAAGGGAGGAAGCCAGCTAGGAGCTCCCAAGGGAAGCTTCACAGGGGAGGGGTACTGACCACCATGCTCTCAAGGTTCAGACCAGGGAGTCACACAACCTGAGCTTGAACTTTGGTCTTCTGGCCCCCACACAATCTTCCTGCTGTATTTCTTTGACCATGCTTGCCTCTGGGAAGAGAAACTAAAAGCTGGGTGTGATGACATACACCTGTAATTCCTAGCACTGAGCAAGCAGAGGCTGGAAGTTTGTGAGCTCAAGGCCAGCCTGGGCCTTGTGGGATCTTCTCTCAAAACAAACAGCTTGGAGAAGCCACATAGAGGTCTTCCGGTGAAGGCCTTGAGAAGTGGAAACTCAGGCTGCATTCCTGTGTGATGTCAGTGGGGGGTGATGATACTGTGGGCCTAAGCTATCCAGGAACCCCCACTGTTCACCCTGCTCACCCACCTGGCCCTGGAGGCCCTGGAGCATGTGACCTTGGTTCACCTGTTCGACTCCACCCTGAATCCAGGGTGAGACCCCCTTCACTGATCACAGAACAGATACCCATACATCTTCCTTCTTTCCTGTGTAGATGGTGGTGTGGGATGAAGAGGGCTTCCAGGGCCGTCGGCATGAGTTCACAGCCGAGTGCCCCAGTGTGCTGGAGCTTGGCTTTGAGACCGTGAGATCCTTGAAAGTCCTGAGTGGAGCGTGAGTCTGAAGGATACGGAGTCAGGATGAGGGGGCTGGGGAGGGGCAGGGAGGGAGCTAGAGAAGGATGCTGGGACCCACGCATGTTCCCAGACTTGTCTTTCTAGGCCTTAACTGTACCTGTGTGTTCCTCCCACGTGCAAAAGAGAAGGCAGCGTCGCTGAGTCACGTCACCCAGGTTGTGAACGTCCCACTTGTAAGGGACACCATCACACAGCCCCTGCCCGTTAGATGAGGCAGCCCCATTGGGTCTGAAGAGTTCCCTCTTAGATGAATGCTAAAAGCTAGCATCACTTACACCTAGACCCTCAAGACTGGCATCCTAAAGCAGCGCTTCCTACAATTAATTAATCCACTTGAGAGTCACTGGCCACACGTGGCCGTTGAGGAAGAATTTCAAATGTATATTCTGTGGCTTAAAAGCTGATGAATTTTTAATTTTTACTTAATCTTGAGATCAAATGTAATTAGTTGTGTGTGGCTGATGCTTATTCCATTGGGTAGGAGATTCCAGAATATTAGGAAGAAGGACCAAAAGGAGAGTTGAACTTTCTCTATATGACTCAGAGCTAAGGCTTTGTCTGTGG